TGACTCAGACCAGCCTGCCCAGCAAGAGAAAGATCTCACCCCATTCACCAGAGGAAAGGCAGTAGGTCAGGGCTTACAGCCAGCTGTTACGTAAGTATTGAGAACATTTTTGTCTATTTTAAATGGAAGGAACTCGTGATTTTATCCGTTTATGTTCCTTGGAGGAGAGGCTGCTCAATTGTTTTCCATTCCTTGCCTGAACATTTTTGTCATCATAACAACGGGAATGATTTAGGGGCCAACAGTGCCACAAGAACAGCTGCAGGCGTTTCAATGTTTGCCATGTAGCGTGTCAGCATGATGTTACGGAAAGACAGCAGTTCTGCAATCGGACAGAGTTGGACAGAAATCTTGCTTCAGGCACTCTCTAGCTCTGCAACCTAGGAAGAGTTAACACCTCCGTGATCCAGTCTTCTTAGCTACAACGTGAAGGCCAACATATTTGAACTTGAGGGTTTTTAGAAGATGCATCTAAATAAGGATACAAGCTTGCCAAGAATTTGGTGAAGAGTCTGAGGTTTTGCCTGCTGTCAAGTGAGCAAGTTAGCCTGTCACTGCTCCATGAAGGCTGGCGGAAGACACAAGTCTCCTTGGTCGGACACAAAGGGCTGTATTACTCACATCCCAGCAAGCAGTGTGACATCAGCATATTTGCATCATATCTTCTTGTCCCCAGGTCCTACATGGGGGATGAGTATGGTCACAGAGGATTCTTACCCACGCGGTGGGTTGAGTCCCAGCAGGAAAACTTTGAACTAAGAAAACCAGAATCTCCAATAATGGGCAGTAAGCGACTCTGCCCTGTGCTCTAGGGAAAACATTATTGCCATCTTCCAAGACTGTTCACCATCACATGAGCACTTAGGGGGCACACTGCTGTGGGAATGGGCAGATTCATAGTTCCAGCACCTTGGTCTTTTTTGCCAACATTACAGACCTCAAAGCCAATGCAGGCCTCCTAATCATTCTAGAACCAAACACTTCGACCACCTTTTATTTTTCCAAGGGCTAATATTATTATCTTTTTTCTCTCTCAGAAAGTACTGAGGACAGAGTTCTCTCTCCAGCCCTCTTGAGACAAAGCAGCCTCCCAGGCTACTGGGAGGTCCAGACCACTCCTTCCTCCACATTCATGTGCACCAGGCACTGTCTGCGTAAGGTGACGTTAGGACAAAAAGACGGAGGACACCCAGACCTTGGTGCCCAGGCAGCGGCAGCACCTGCATTCATCTCAGGAATGATCTGAGTTTGCTCTAGAGCAGGTACTAGGCCAGAGGTTAGAGCTCAGCAAGGCCTCGCCAATACACGGAGGACAGTCACTTCACCAGGAGAAGGGTTAGCCAATGGGGAGGTCAGGAAGAATTCTTGGAGGTGGAATTCTGACACAGGTTCTAAAGGAGCCATCCAGTGAAGGGTGACAGGTGCAGAGATACAGGGCCAGAGGGAACCTGCAAGTGTGCTGTCCTTCCTGCAGCACGAGGGGAGCATGGCAGTGACCATGGATGAGGCTGGACCTGGAGACTGCAGAGAGCCAGGTAGTGAGGGCCTGGCTGCTATACTGTGGAGCGTTGTGGGTGGTGAGATCATTGGGAGGATTTACAGGAGAGACAGGGAGTGAATATGGGCAAATACAATCAGATTTGCCCCTCATTGGCAGCCAACAGTGAAGAGGAATTGGAAGGCTTATTCAGGGGAGGAAATGGTCTAGAAATGATTGAGACCTGAATAGGGGAGAGCACCTTAGAAGAGGTCCCAGGGGAGGGACACCAAATCTTCTTTTGACACAATGTGGGTGCACCTGTCCCCTCACTGATGACGAGGTGCCCCATGTGCAGAACACTGCAGCCCCCTGGGAGCAGGATCCAAATGCACTTGGGTTTGTGAGTGAAGTCTGCTCTGCTCATCTGCTTTCATAACTAAAATCTTTGCAGAATGGACTAAGTTCTTCACTATCATGTAGACACATCTACAGCTCCTTTGGGACAAAAGACACCTGGCTAGAATTCCAGAAGGGAAAGGAAAACAAAGGATTCATAAGGACTGCCTCATAAAGACAAAGCTTACCCTGGATAGCACCTGAGATGCCAAGGGAAGAACGTTTCACTCTCAACCCAAG